AAGACCTGAACTGCCTAATGGATCCACTAGTCTAATCTGAAAAGGATTTCATCTAAAAGTATGATCCTTTTTCTACCCATGGTGGCTAACATGGTTCTATGGGGGGCTGTGGGTTCTTTGAACGCTCCCCCAATTCGGTGCTCGATACTACTCCCAAAAATGTACTGGCTCTTATGTTTTTAAAACATATTTCTTCCTGCTGATATGAGATAATTACTCAAAAACTAGCCCGAAGGCTTTTTGGAAATCTCAGTTTCCACCTTGTTTAAATGTAAAAACATTTCTTTAAAACTTCTTTGGGAATACATAGTTCCCTAATAACTTTTGAGAAAAGAACTCAACTTTAAACTCTTTACTTTACTTGAACTCTTGGCTTGATGTGAAACTCTTAACTTAACATGAAACTCTTAACTTTTGACTTGACTTGAAACTCAATACTTAACTTGGAACTTGAGCCTTAGAATGAAGTTAAAACGCTCAATGAAGACTCTTGGAAAACCTTAAAGACTTGCTTTGACTTACTTACTTCTAAGCTTGACTTCACTTGACTTGGAAACTAACTTCACTTGAATTGGAAACTAACTTCACTTGAATTGGAAACTAACTTCACTTGACTTGGAAACTAACTTCACTTGACTTGTAGTTTTACTTGACTTTTGGAAGTACCTTGGAGTGTTGGAAACAACTAGGAAACATAGGTATAATACCTAGGAACATGTATAAAAAAAGAAATGGTGAATGAAAGGGAAGGATTGGTGTCCTTGGCACTAGGAGAGGTGCAACAGCCCAGCCCCTTTTTCCCCAAAAATCCGACTTTTTCCCCTTGTTTCTTTCCAATTCTAAACCCTCTCAACCTCAAGGTTTCAGCAGCAACACTTAGAATCATAAAGACCCTTATTATACAATAGATTCAACTCAAAAATCACAGCCAGAAATCTGTACTAAATCAGCAAGAACTTCAACACAACACCACTACAACTTCAACAACCAATAAATCTTCTCTTGGAATTAAAAACGAGTTGGTGTGTGGGGGTATGAACCAACCAACACTAAGGATCATAAAATCCCTCAATATACAATAGGTCACAACTCAAATACACAGCCCAATCCTGTCCCACAACCAACAATAACTTCAACAACACAACTAACAACATCAACAACAACTAACAACTTCAACAACTTCAACAACAAATCCAATCTCTTCTCAAATCATAAAAACGAGCTTGGTATGTGGGGGGAAAGGATAAACCCACACTAAAGACTCACATACCTTGATAGGGATCACCCCCGACGAAAATCCACAATGATCTTGACAAATCTTGTTGATCTCCTCTTTCTTCTCTTCTTCTTCTTCTTCTTTCTTTCTTGAACCCTAACTCTTTCTCTTTCAAAATGGGACAAATGATCCAAATATCAGCCTAATACAACAATATAAGCTCAAAAGAAATTATTTGTGAAAAGACCAAAATGCCCTTAAATTTCCGGAACGGAATCCCTGCCAACTGCCCAACTTTCAAAGATCATAACTCGCTCATACGAACTCGGAATTGAGCAAACTCAGTGGCGTTGGAAAGATCGTTCCACAAGCTTCGAAACCATAACTGGAACTACTCCTAAATCATCCTGAGCTAGGAGTTATGACTGCTCAAAGTTGGCCAAAAACTCACTGATTTCCACACTTAGCCAAATTTCCAAATTTTTGAACTTAGCCAAATTTTCCAGATTCTGGACTGCCAAATTTCCAGATTTTAAATTTTTTTCAAAAAAAAAGACTATTTCCAAATTTCAAGCTTCTTCATATTCATTTTTAAATTGT